CCCATCCTATTCAGTGTATGTGCACAACTTCTATGGAAGTCATCCGAGTGGTCGCTTATATTAAAAAGAGCACCAATCGCTAATGCGGAACTTCCATCATTTGTCAACAACGCCAGCAACTTTTACCACCTGTCGAGAAAATGTGATCAAAATGTTTTAATTTGTAAGAAACATATATATTTCGCACTTTGTATTGTTCTTGCAATAACTGACGTGAGTAAGCGCTATGGAAGAATGCACACAGTCAATTCTCTCATTCCTCTGTCCATTTGGGGTGCATGGCGAAACCGCTCTCCTTCAAATGGACCAGTTTTTCCTTAGTTTTGCCGTGATTTTCCAGAAAATGAATTTTTATGCATTTCCAAAGATACAGTCTTTTCGCTTTTCAGCCTCATCCTTTTCGCCAGTCTGACTAGAATTGGACTTGATTTGTTCTGCACAGATTGATCCTAAGTATCAGCGGTATAATCTTGTCCTCTGAGCATATTCTGAAGTGCGAGTTCTTTGCTGTTTCTGCACTTTTTCAAATACCAAACGAATATTTAGTGTCGCGCACTGGGGTTGCCGGTATGAAACCATGCTTTCTGCCTGGCCTCATAAAGTAGTCAGATGTTTAGCAATATCAGTGGCGTTGCTTAAATGCTTAAACATACGCACACGCATGCGCACGTACACACAGGATTTTTGCTGATTTTTACAGGACAACAGCGCTGCAACCAAAGAATGCATAAAAACTTGCATCGAAATCTGTGTTTTTCAGTACGGGATGAAATGCTGGCTGCTTTTCCATATGCCTATGAAATGTGTGTCTTGTAATTCCTGTGTCTTCTATTTCAATATTCTTTTAGATAAAAACTTTCAGTGGAAGCAGAGATGAAGTTGTCTTCCTGGCATGCGTGAGTGCCAGTTTACCATCGAAATGAGTGAATGAATTGTTTATCGTTATGACCGAATGAAAGCTTTGATTTTCAGAACGAAAGGCGCTTGTATACCATTTATACGTAAGAACAGAGACATGCTGGAGAAAAAGGGAACAGAGGTAGCACTTTTCCCGAAAGAAGTAGGGGCGCAAAGAGAGAGACAGCGCCAGGACCATTAGATATTATTTTTGCCACAGCAATCATTAATGAGTTATCAGTGGTTTTGCAATAAAGCTATTTTGGAATGAAATAACGGCGAATCGAAACGCGTTTCATTCTGGATATTCCCCTGGATCATACAACTCAGTACAGGTCCAAGTTCTTTGTCACGCACACTTTGTGCTGAATTTGAAATCTTTGAGTTTATGTGAACGGGGTACATCCCCTAAAAATTTCAGCTTTCTAGCTTTTCTGATCCCCAAGTCAGCGATTTTCTAGCCAAAACTTTCATGCACTCGTGTGCGGAGTAGAGACGTTCATGTAGGTTGGTATTTGACCTTGAGGCAGCAATTGGCCGGTGAGCCCACCGGCTAAATTTCAGCGCTGGGACTTGTTTGGTTGCCCAGTTGAAATACCTAGACGCGCGCGCACACACACAGACGCATACATATACACGAGAGTGGTCACAATATGCGTTTTTGCATCTGCATATATGCGAAAACACATAAAAATACATGTTAAGAAATTTGGGAATGTATGCGATTTCCAGGACCGAAACATCCCCGTTTGGCTGTTTAATCACAATTTGATTCTAAATTTTTTTTAGAAAAATATTCTTTAAAACATTACCTTGTGCACCACATGCTACCGAACATTCCACTGCTGTGGAGCAGTGAACAGCGTCTTCTGGATGCGTTACCGTTGCTCCTAGCTTGATCGACGACGCTTTGGTCCACATCTTCAACATTCGCCCGAATAGCTTCCTTGGTGGCACTCCATTGTTCTCACAATGCGCTTCTTCTGCGCTTTCCTGTGATATGAAATTAAAAATATCAGGTGTCAAGAGGAAAATTAAAAAACTGCTAAAGCTGGCGTTAAAAAAGCACTTTGTGGAAGCTAGCCCTGTACTTACCACACTTCCCATTTCGAATACACTTAAGACGTCGCACAATATTTGACCTTCACGAGCAAGTGAATGATAAGGTTTAACTGCCTACAAGGTAAGACTGGATTTTTGGGCTAGATCAATAAGTGGTACCGTCTGAAATTATAATGGAAGGAAAGTAGCCCGTTGGGTCTACAGGTTCTTCGAAATGTTGTCGGGTACAACACTGCTCCTCAATTATTTTTAATAATTCTTCCTCTAATTTCTCAAGTCTTTTCGTTTATTTTTGCAGTTTCATAATAACTCTAAACCATAAATAATTGTGACTAAGTTCAGTGTGATTATTAGCGTTATTTTTGTCATTACTATTGTTATTATCATTATTACCACCGACACTGCTATAATATTTTCACATCATTATTGCTTTGCCTTGCTGTTAAAGCTTTACTATTATTTTTAATAATATTCGCAACAATATTTGTTTATTGTTTACTTAATTATTTATTATTATTATTATTATTATTATTATTATTATTATTATTATTTCATCAATCTCTTTTCTTATTCACCAACACTTCTCAGAATTGTTTTTGTCAAGAGACTTCCTGGTCAGATTTAACAATCAAATTAATGTACGTTTTTATCCTTATTTTTAGCTTTAAGTTCTTTTGTACCTACGCTTGATCTTAATTTTCTGTCTTTAAAACAAAATGCAATTCGCCAAATTTCTGCGTCTCTTTGGTAAAACTGATTTTAACGCCCTGTTTAGGTGCATTTAACGCCTCTGAAATCTGTTTATCGTACAGCTTTTCAATACAGACAAAGAAGGAAACAAGGAACAAAGATAATTTTTCAATGTTCACTTGAAAGATAAAGGCGATAATTAAAGCAAATGAATGCATGGGATTTACTCCTGACTACAATGTAAATTAGCCATTCAGAATTCTAATGGCAAAATGGAAACGTTTGTATCTTTTTTCTGGTGCAGCACCGTTTGAAACAATAGGAGAATAGCAAGGCACATTTAAAGTGCCCTGATTGATATCAACTGTGGTCGAAAACGCATTCCTAGAAATACCGTATCACAATTCTGGAGAAAATCATTGTGTC